TATTGAATTTTCAGGCTGTGGGTGCTGAAGTGAGAGTAAGGCAGTTTTCAGAGGGAGGGTTTTAGACCAGAATTCCCGATTTACCCCAGAATACATGAACAAGAATTAGGTTCAGTGACACACATTCACACCAGGCAGCGGAAGGACACACAGGTAACAGGCACATGCTTTACACCAGGCTCAGCCAATCCAGAAATCCCCATGCAAAGCTATAGGAAAGCCTCTCCCTGCCTCCTCTGCTCCCCAGCCCTGCACTGCATCTCTCCCTCAGGTGCTGGTGCTTCCCATCTCGCATTCCTGTCTCGCACTGGCTGGATTAACCCACTCCCTTTGTTAAACACCAGACAGATTGTTGACAATTGGTATTAAATTTTTGAAAGCACCTCTTCGGTATCAAAAATCTCTGGCTTACTACCACTGAAAACATTTTAAAAAATCCTCCTCAGTAAATCTTAAATCTCATCAAAGCAACCAGAAGTATTTACTACCTCCAGTCTCAGCGATCAGTTCCTCCAGTGGCAGTTTCAAACCTCCCAAGTCTTTTCAGTCTCGTTCTCCTTCTTTCCAAGCATCCTAATTCCTTGTATTCGCATCCTCTCTCTCCCTGTTCCCAAAGCCAGGGGAGGAAAACCGGGCAATGCAGCAGCTGGTTTTGCAAGAAAATCTTACAACAGCTGAGGCCAGATGCTCCAGAGGTTTCTCTGGAATATTAATGCCATGGGGCTTGTTTGGAGGAGAATTACTCAGTGTTGGGAGGTGACAACTCACCCTGGTTGGAGTTTCACTGGCAGGAGATGGATGAAGCTTCTACTGTGGAATTATGGAGCTAAAAAATGGTTTGGGTTGAAAAGGAACCAACCAAAAAGTTCCAACCCCCCTGCCATAGACAGGGACACCTTTCACCAGCCCAGGTTGCTCCAAGCCCTGTCCAACCTGGCCTTGGACACTCCCAGGGATGGGGCAGCCCCAGCTCCTCTGGGCAACCTGTGCCAGGGCCTCCCCACCCTCATAGGGAAGGATTCCTTCCTGACTATGGAATCACAGAACAGTTTGGGTTGGGAGGGACCTTAAAGATGATCTTATTCCAATCCCCTTGGTGTGGACAGGGAACTTTTATCGTGCAGCTTCCAGGAGAAACACCTGCAAAATTCGGGTCTGAGGTCCTTGCACAACAAATGTGTGAGTGGAAGTGGCTGCAGATGGAAGGATTAGCAGAAGCTGACTCTTGCTTCTTTTTTGGATAACTAAGAGTGGTTGAGAAGCACATAAACGTCCTCGTTTGGGTGCCAGCAGCCCCCAGGACAGGGTAGCAGAGGACAACTAGAATTAGAGAAGGTTTCATGCCAGCATGGTAAGAGAATCAGATTAATGGATAAACTTTGGTTTTGAGCAACCAGTGTGAAATCCATCCCTCCTCACATGAAAACCTCTACACACTCACCCAGCTGCCCTGGCACACCTGGACCCACGGCCAGCAACGCTCCCGAGGTCAACAATGGATCCGATCAAAATTTGGATGGAAACAGTTATCCCAGGAACCTTCGCCTACAAGGGACAGAAAAATTATTCATGCCTTTAAATACTAATAATCATGAAATCTAAGGCAGCCTTGAGGACATGTTCCAGTCACCAGCTTTTTTCCAGTAAATAAACTGACAAAATGCTGCTGCACTGGTTCAAATCGGTGCAAGTTCCGTGGAAATGCACCAAATAAGCATCAAATTTAAAAGCATATTGAAACTGGACACGACCTTCAGCTGTGCCTGTGCTGGCAGCACTTGGACAAGACACACAGACTGACATCTTGTACTCAAAAAGTGCTCAAAACCTGGGTGGAAATACAGGAAAATAATAGCACACCCCTGTCTCCAGGCTCCTGCTGGGAATGGACTGAGGTACTTGAGGCACTTCTTGACATCCCACTTTGAAACTGTGACCTCTGTGGAGATGCAGGAGAAGGGTTGCAGACACGTCTGACTGCACACAAGAATCACAGCAATTAAGTAAATGAAATAAAAATGTTCTTTTCTATGATCCGAAGCCACGGTTAGTTAGGAACTGGTGATTTCACTTCAATAAGAATTACATGTTTTTTAATTGAAATATTCACGGCCAAGTGGTCAAATGGTAATATTTTAGTAATCTTTACATATTTTCCTACGTCCTCTGTGCTTTTTCAAGTCCACATTACTATCCATTTGGCCTCCTATTTTTCCTGTTACTTATCCTAAACACAAGTTGTTCTGAAAGATCACCAGTGATTTGCATAAAATATAGAGCTGTTACTTTTCTTTTCTTAAAAGAAGCATAATAATTGCAAACTGCAACTACTGGAGCTGAAAATAACTCTCCAGACAGTTGCACATGCAGAATTAGATTAAAATGAGCTCATTTTTTTAAATGACCTGATAATTTGTAGGGGAGAAAAAAATAACTATCTAACTATTTTCATCAGCAGAGAATGTTACAGCCATGGAGGGGTGCCTGCTGCATGCAGATGAGGCAACCACAACCTAGGGAGGCCAAATTAACTCATCAGAACTGGAGGCTTGGAGACTACATTGAAATAACCATAAATCTCTTCTCCTGGAAAAAACAACAGAGGGGCAGATGGTGAGACATCTTGTACCACTTCAGGGAGAAATTCTATGGACAACCTGAGCAAAATGTTATGAGAAAAGGGTAAATACTTGAGGTGCCAAGCTGAGATCAGTCTTTTGTTCTCTCTCATCTGGCAAGAACCTTGCACACACCACAGCCACCGTGCCTGGCACGAGCAGAAGCTGAAATCATGGAATCCTGGAATGGTTTGGGTTGGAAGGGCCTTAAAGACCATCCAGTGCCACCCCCTGCCGTGGGCAGGGACACCTTCCACTATCCCAGGTTGCTCCAAGCCCTGTCCAACCTGGCCTTGGACACTCCCAGGGATGGGGCAGCCACAGCTTCTCTGGGCAACCTGTGCCAGGGCCTCCCCACCCTCCCAGGGAGGAGATGTTTTCAGATCAGTGGTTTTCTCTGACCGGGAGAGCAAATATGACCAAGATTTGAATTTGTTGGCCAAATCCAGTAAGTTTCTCTAACTTTACTGAACCAACAAAGGCTTCCTAATTTCTGGGAGACAATTTAGAAGCCAAATACAGAATGAGAAAGTCTGTTAATCTCAGTTTCCAGAGATGACTATAATGAATTACCATCACAGCCAGGTACAACTCCCTGCCCTAGTAAATTCGGACTAGTTTTATGGTTAACCTGTAGTATTGACAGTATTACTAAAACCCCCTTGAGTGGGCTTTGCAGGTTTATAAATATATCCAATTATTATGTTTTTGATGAGATTTAATTTAAATCTAGCAAAAAATATCCCCAAGTGAGTCATCTATTATTCATAACTTGAGATGAATTCAGCCTCCGTATCACAACTTTTCCTCCTCCTCCTTTTTCAGACCCATTGCTTCTACATAAATTAAATCATTCACTACATACACCCAAGTCAGATTTCCTTTTAGAAAACCATGTTTCAGAGAAAGCAATTACATTTGGTCATTGATATATCACCCAAGCTATCAAAGCCCCCCCAAAAATAGAAGAGGGCTTCAGATGTTAATGTGAACAAATTTTACACTTTGATAATAACTCACTGCAGAGAAGAGGCTGCGATATCAGATGAGATAAAGGAGATCATCAGCTGATGGAGTGTCATCCACTTGAGATACAGTGATGGGAGGTTTGTGCATTGAACAGGGCTGAGCTGTAGGTGCCAGTTGTCCCCGTTCTCCATGACCGGAATGAATCGTGACAATTTGCGTCAGCAAAGTTCCACCCAAATCACGAGCAACTTGTTGCTTCACCTCCAAAGCACTGGGAGAGCGGGCACAGCTCGGGCTGTTCTGCTGACATTCAGCCTCCTCCAGGCCCTGGTTTCTGAGGTTCATTAAAGGTGCAGCTCCAGAAGCCTCTGCTCCTCTGCAGGAGCTGACATTTGGCGGCTCAGCCTCGTGCAAAGCGCGCCGGGCGCAAATCACTGACGGTCGTTCCGGCCCCTTCCCTGCGGTACTGGGAATCAACTGTAGCGTGGCAGGAAAACACAACCACGTCTGATTGAGCTGGGGGAGAGCAATTTCTCAGCAGGCTCAGAGGACACTCACCCCCGGTGAGGAGGGAGCGTGACTCGCTGGAGGAGCCGCACGCAGCAGAAGCCGCTGTTGGTCTGTAGCCCACGGGCTGGTTCCATTAATGATGCACTCTGTTGCACGGATTTGGGGATGAGGAGACAGATCATACAACAAGCTGCTTATCTGGAGTCAGGCCGGAGGTGAGAGGAGGTGATGTGAGCACAGCAGCTCCATCCTCTGGCCTCACCTGTGGAGGGGAGGGGAACAAGCAGCTAAAAACCATTAGTTTTGAGCTAAAACCCACAAAACACCCCATCTTCTTCCTTAGACCTTTTCTTCCTCTTTTCCTCTCATTTTCTGTGCTTTGCACGTGCTTTTCTCATTTTGCTGTCCCTGTGCCCTCCCTGCCCTTGCCATGGCTGCCCATCCAGCCCCCACCGAGGCTGCACCACCTCGCATCTCCTGACTGGGGACTCTCCTGATCTCTTGACTGAAGATCCCCTCTGGCTCAAGCACCAACCCAGAGCAAGTTAATTAACCCTGGTGCCCCCCAGGGATAATGCTCACCTAAGCTGTGGGAGACAGGAGGGTTGAGAGGCTTTATTATTATTATTATTATTATTATTAATTAAATAGTGCTACAAATGCCTCGTCCTCGAGAAAAAGAGTCACTGCATTCCTGTAGCCTGCAGTCACCCTGAATCCTGTGCAGATCCAAGGGGAAGGAAAGGGAAAGAAAGGCAGAGGAAAACCCCTCCTGCCCCCCAAGTGAGTGGTGTGTTCAGCAGGACAAGCCCTGCAGTGGGGCTGAGGGAGGTGACTCCCCCATGGGAGGTGGGGCAAATAAACACCTTGCTATTCACTTATATTACGTTTTTTATTAATTCATTTTTTTTCTGAGCTGTAAATAGCTCTTTCTCTTACAGATCTCCAACTTCTTTGGTCCAAAGGTCCTGGCCAAGCTCTCGGTTGTCCCTCTGCCATGTGGGACTGCTCATGGCTCACCATTCAGCTGTCCCACCATCACAGGGGCCTCACGTGGCCATGGGGAATCTCACCACAGAGCTGTGGCTGAGCTGCTTTTGTGGTGCCAAAGGTGCAGGATCCCCACGGCCCCAACCCACTGGAGAACACTTCTCCACCAGCAGACACAGACCCAGGCACACGTGGGCAATGGAGAGTTGTTCAAGAAAAACACATTTCATAGAATCATAGAGTCATTAAGGTCAGAAAACACCTCCAAGATCATTAAGTCCAACCTTCAACTCAGTCCTGACTTTGATCACCAAGTCCAACCTTCCAGCAGCTTAACACAGTGACTCTTCCTTTGGGTGACTAAACCCAACACAGAATTTGAGCACGAAGAGCTGAAGGGATGCAGGGTTTTCAGATTAACATCTGCCCAGGGATGGGCTCGTCACAGTCCGTGGTGTCCAGAGCACAACTCCCAGTCTTGGTGGGGTTCAGCCCCCCAGGATTTGTGGGGGGCATCACTATTATCAGAGATGCACAACCACTGAGCACCACAAACAGGTTCCACTGGCCCAGGCGTCACCCAGACAAGCTCCATTTTAAGATCTAAGAGCAGAGGCACATGGATTTCACTAACATTAAATCACAAGACAATTAAATAAAGGCAGAAACTATGTGCTTTTTGATGATCCTAAATCAGAGGCAATGATTCATTCTCAGGCCTCTTAAGTGAGGATGTTTAATGACATGGTGGGAAATGAAGCCTTTTTGTAGCAGGAAAGGAAACACTGCGTTCTGTAGCAGCAGTTACTGAATAATTAACCTGCACCCCTGTTATTACCTAAGAGTATTTGCCATTAACCCAATAAAAAGATCATATGAGGCGTGAATGTGAAGAATAACAATGAAAATGTACTGCTTAGAGCTTGTATAACTGATATAATGCTCAAATTTCTGTCTGAGTCTAATATGGGATAGGTGGTATAAGTCAGTGAACATAAACAGACAAAACTGGTTTGCTGCTTATTCCAGCTTTGTTTCCAGAGCTGAGAAGTCTGACCCACTCGTGCTGCCATTATCAATCATCCAAAGCAGGTGGCCTTCCACTCTGTGACCAGGAAGGTCAACTCATTTGTGCTACACTTGACCAGACATGATTTTTTTTTTTTTTTGCATGCTGCCAAAATTGCAACCTTTTCATGGGAAGGGAGGCAAGAGCTTGGTGGAGAATGTCAGCACAGGCAGTGATGATCCCTGACACTCTGTGAGAAGGGCCCTCTGGAGGCATCTCCTGCAACTCTCAAACAACCCTTGCTGGAGAAAAGGTGTCATCTTCCCTTTTCCATAAGCAAAGAAGCATTTTAAAATTATGGATGAAAGGCCTTTGACTGATTTGGCCTTTTATTCAGCAGAGCCTACAAGCCCTCACAAGGAGAGTCTTTTTGTCATTGGACTCACTAATCTTCACTTTCTTGATTAAAAAATGGGTAAATTAAAACCTTTGTGTCTTATTTACACATTAGCTCAGTTTCCAGAAGTTTCAGCTCAGACAGGGAGTTCAGAACATACAGAAACAACAATTTTAGATGTTTGCAGGCTGAAGTTAGTTATTATCGAGAAACACACAATCAGTAAATCAAAATAAAAATTAACAAACCCCATGGGTAATTATCCTTCAAAATTGATGCCAGACAAACCTCATTGTGTTGTGCCATTCCAGGCGGTTTAAGTGACCTTCAGTGTTGCTGTTTAAGGTGGCCTGATAATGATTTGATTATTATTTCATGCAAATTAAGAGTTACCTCTCCTAAAAGAGCTGATTTTCAATTTCATCCCTATTTGCACACTGCAGGAAACCATGACATTTCCGAGCTCTCCAGAGTCTTTTACACTGCCTGGCACTATTAGATGCTGTTATCCAACTCTTTTTTTCTCCTTAATTTATTTCCTAAATCATTCTTTGTTGTCACCACGGCTGAATGGGTCCATCACCCAAACACACACCCTGTCATGCAACAAACAGCTGGGTTGTCACAGGGTCCTGGCCAGCAGCTACACAAGAGACACAAGGTCCATCAAACCACAGTGTAGACCTCCAGCAGTCAAAGCACTTAAACACCACCAACATCTGCTTAGGGAAAAGCAAAACTTACCCTCCCACTCTTAAAATAATAAGAAGAAAGGGATTAAGAGAGAGGCTGGGGGTCCCTGACAACACAAAACCTGACTTCTCTGCACGAGGTCCCCAAATGCAACATCTGCTTAGTGGGTTACATTTTTTGTCTGGGTTATTGGCACTTGCATTTGAATAAGAATTCAAAATCAAGCAAAAGCTTCAAGGTCAACAATCTTTTTATAGAAGCAAAAACCCATGAGAGAAGTTTAAGCAATTATTCTTAGCCAAAGGAGCAGTCAGTTCAAATAAATGTATCAAAGCCTCCAAATTATCAGCAATAAAATCTTATGTCATCTAATAACGACAATGATGACAATAATTACCGGGACAATGATTTAAAGCTCAGCATTTTTATAGTACCTAATTTAACAAGTACAGGTTGCTTATTTATGCCTTTCCAGACTGAAAAAGAGGTTGTCTGGGTTTGTTTATTGTCTAAGTTTAGACTTCTGGAAGACAAAAAGCTTCTAGAAATTACCACACAAAGTTCCTACAGAAGGAGATGCTGATGGAGGCACAATTTTAATAGGCAGAAAGTTTACAGACATCAATCTGTACCTACAAAGAAAATGGAAGAAATAAGAGCAGAGGAGTGGCAAACTGATGGAAAAAAAAGTCAGAATTTAGAAAACCAGCTCAACAACCATCCAAGTTGATTTCTCACATGGAAATCATCCAACCTTATTGATTCTGTGATTCTGTGGAGAGCAGGAGAAGGACTCTGTGATTAGTAGAAAATCCTACAGGAGTTCTGCCCTGTGTGCTCCCGTTTGCATCCTGGTCCACGTTCTGTGTCACATCCCTGAGAGGAAAACTCACTTCTCCACATGCACAGTGTGCAGAGATTTGTGGTGATGAGCAGATCCTGCCTTTGGCCCTTTGCCCACTCCAGGAAGCACAGCCATTCTTTATCCCAACCACTGGCTTTCCCTAAAACAGAATATCAGCTCTGATATTCCGGCGGAACCTGCCGGCTCCTGTCCTTCTGAGGAGTTGATAATGACATGGACACGGTCCATAATAACTCACTCACGCCAACACAGTCATTTCTATGCATAACTTTCACATTCTGACAATCTGCAGGACAAGACCTGACCCAGCCCATTTTTCAGGCTGGGAAAAGGAGCACAGTTCTACCAGGAGGTGTCAGTTCTCTTGCCTGAGTAAGGGCTGGATTCAAACCATACCAGTGTGGGAGGTCATCTCACTATGTGACTTATTAAATTAAAGGTTTACCCTTCCCTGATAAAGCTGGAGGGCTGTACAACCTGCAGTGCCCCAGGACACAGACTTCTCTAACAGATTCTGCATAAGTATTTGATACAGTTTTTATACAAATCCACAACAGGTATCTGATCACATGGATGGACAAATCAGCACTCTGTCATACAGTCTGGGGATTTTCAAAACCTCAGCTTGACACCTGTACATACATATATATATATATTTTTTCAATATGATGGCTGGGCAGCTACAGTTATTTTTCTGGACAAGGAACATACTAATCTTAAATTTCTGTACAGGTACCAAAACAAGGTGCTGGACAAAAAGAAGCTCCTAATTTGCCATTTACCTTTCCTATTTCAGCTGGGGGGGGGAGGAAGATGGAATAATAAATTCAGTTCTGTGTTTACAACTCTAAAATACTTGTGAGATTCTTGGAATCAGTGGAGCCTGCAGGTCACTCAGCATTTTTGCCATGGTGTGGTGTGTGAGAGACCAAATGAGTCGTACCATTGCAGAGCACAGGGCTGTAATTATGATAAAGGAAGAGAATTAATCTGTCACCGGGGAATTAATGCAGCGGACAGACTTTCTTTTACAAGAGCTCCAAGCAAAGTTCCTGGATCAAGGCCTGGAGCTATATTTGATATTAACAGAATGCATGTTGTCCTCCAGTAGTTACTCTGAGCAGGAATTAACCCTTTGCTGGTGGCCTTGAGCCCAGCACCAGGGGAGGGAGGAGGCCTGAGGGCAGAGCCCGGGTCCTCCTCTGCTCCAGGAGGCTCCAGGGCTGCTTCCAAACATGGGAGTAAATGCAGAAAATGGAGAAATCATTTCATTACCATTAGTGGGATGTGTAGGGAAAACACCACCCAAGGGGAGCTGCCCTGGAGTAGAGTGACCTGATGGAGCAGCCAGGGGTGTGACACACCCTTGGGAAGGACCAGCCTTCCCCACCCACAGGAGAGCTGGAATAACACTGCTGGATTTTACCCACCTGGGGCAGGCAAAATGCTGTTTGAGTGCCTTCATGCCATGGCAGGGTTGTTGGAGCAGAGGCAGGAGCAGCGGTGATGCTCTGGCACAGCTGGGTTATGAGGTGGCTGTGCTGGCACAGGAATTTACCCTGCATTTCACTGCACACAGCAACACACGTTCACAAAGGGCAGCAGACAGAGGAAACCTAAAATAAAAAATTAAACAGCGTTATTACCACAAAAAAAAAAATGGTAAAACCCAGCAGAAAGTGAGAAACAAGGCTACGAATTTCTGCAGCAGTGAAAAAGGATTTTATAGCCAGTTTTCCTCAAGCCCCAGACATGTTTTACACAGGGCCATTACCGGATATCTTCGTAGGAAAACAAAACGCAGCTCGATTTCCTACAGCAGTGTTGATGCAGTGACTATCAGCTCCAGAGATTTCTCCGTGCAGTGACTGGTGGTGATGAAAAACGATCTGTAAGTTGTGTCAAAACAAAGGCACAGTTTGAGCAGTTTGTGTAACGAGCAGCACTGATGACACCACGGAGGGGCTGCGGCCAACACGCTGTTTCCAAACACGGAGCTGAATCGAGACCTTTATTGACACCAGATCAGCGTGTTTGCCTCGACTGCAAACAAATATTTGGCACGTCCTGAAAACAAGGCTGGCAGGACCGTGCAGAGAAGTTTCTCTGCTCTCTCAGGAGGGGTTTGCTCAGAGGATGTGTCTGATGGCACAGCCCAGCCTGGCTGGCAGGAGCACACCAGCCTCTGAGGGAGGGTATTCCCTGAGCAAACATTCCCCCTGAGGAACACATGTGGCACTCCAGGAGATGGTTTAGTGGCCTAGGGGACATTCAGTCTGTCTTTGGGGTCTTTTCCAATCTTAGTTGCAAGCAGAGGTGAGCGATGGCTGTTCCTCCATCAGGAAAAGTTCTTTAACCACTCCTTGCAACCCAGGCAGGTGGTACAGACCCACTTTTCTGTAATAACATATGGATGAAGTGTTTCTGATTCCTAAGGGAGCAGAGCAGCTGCACTGAGCATGTCACATGTGCTCTGCTCCAAACCTCACACCATCACTTTCTTGGGTTTGTTGTATATTCGATATTCAATATCTGACACTCTATTTATGGACTGTTTCCACACACTCTTGCTATTCCGAAGCTCAGTGTTTATAAACAGACACTGGCCATCAGGAACACAAATTAAGTTCAAAAACCTGTTTCCCAGTCCTCAAGAAACAACTGGACCAACCTGGCACTTCATCCTTGCTCCAGCAGCTCTCCTCTCACCTGACATCTCTCAGCCCTCATTTCAGCACATTTCCATGAATGACAGAAAATGCTTCAGTGAGGGCATTTTCCTCATTTTATCCAAACAAGACAGACACCAATGTTTCTCAGAGATTTCAGGGAAGCTTCTGCAGTTGGGTTGTTGGGGATGGGAAGTGAAGCACTTGTAGAGCCAAAATCCTTGGATTTGGCTCCTCTCTTCGACACAGCCTTCACCCTTCTGGCTTTGCGAAGGATCACTCCCCTGTATTTATAGATATAAATATATTTTTATATTCTGACAGAAAGCACACACAGGAGGTTTCCCTCATGTTGCTTTTCAGTGAACACCCACCCTGTACCCACCCCATGGAGAACCCCACACCACCAGGTACCTCCACTGTGAGCGCCTGCCCTGTTCCGTCTGCACCTTCTGCTGCCCCCTCCAGGCACCATTTCCATCTCCACAGGATTTCTGTGTTTCCCTGTTCCATGTCAGGTCTGAGGGAGGCACAAACCCCCTCCTGTGCTCCCTGGGCTTCTCTGCTCATCAGTGACCTCTCTGAGCAGAGACCCGCTGGCTCCATCCAGCAGCAAACACCCTTCCACAGCTCCCTAACTGATGGAATGTCACGGTTCCCACAAGCACTCTGGCAAACTGTGGCTTTAGTCATGAATCATGTGATACATTTCAAGCTTTTATTTCAAATTAATGGCTGCAGCAGGTATGGCTCAGCAGAGAGCAGGTCCAGCAGCTGAGACACCAGTCCCAGCAGCATTCCTGGTCTGAGGGGCCTCTGCAGGGAAGACTAAGGATGCAGCAGCTCTGATCCCTCCTGGGAAGAGAGCTACCCAATTTAACAGTGCCCACTGTTTTCTGTAGTTAATGATCCATCTGTGGCTCAGCCAGAATTATTTGGGAAGGAGAAAACCTGCACAAAGCAGCATCAGAGCTGGCCTTGGGAAGGGGGCTGGAGCCAGGGAAGAGCCCCTGAGGTCAGGAGGGAGAGCTGGGCTCACATCCTTGTGTGAGGCTGAGGCACATTCCACCCTCCAGAGCTGCTTCCCCAGTAGGGACCGACTGCAGACCAACAAATTATGAACTTCTTACATTGAGGAGACACCACTGACATCAAACCTAGAGTGCATTTCCAGTGCCTTTGGCACAACACATCCAGGAGAATCAGCAAAAGGGGGCTCAGCCACTTTTCCAACCCAGCCAGTGCCTGGGAGCCATTTGTCCCTGGGCACTGAGGCACAGAGCTGAGCATCCTCATGTGCTGGGAGGCTGGAGACTCCTCCTGTATCCCTGGAGATGGGACCCCCATCCCTGGATAACCTGTCATCCACAGCACAGCGAATCCCCCATTTGGGACACACATTTTTTTCTTTCTTAATACTTTTTCCCATCTTCATAGGTCAGGATTTTTCTGAATTCTCAAATTACTCCTCATTAACACGAAAAAATAATTTCCATTTGGCAGCATTCCCATGAATAAAACATCCCTGGGATAATAACCTGCTTGGGGCAAGAGGTGCCGACCTTCAGAAATGAGGACAGATCTTGACTTGTATTCAGGAGTGAAAAAATCCAGTGACTTCCAATGTTCTTCAGTTTGGAGGAGACCAGGGAAAATTTTCCATTGCTGAATATTCACATTTCAGGCGTTTTTGAGCTAATCATTTGGGTTCAGAATTTTTGCACGCTGACTGCCAAAAATAAATTACTATGAAAATGGGATGCTGTGTGTGGATGAGCTGGGGAAACGCTGCACATTTTGGAGGTCACTGCAAGAAAAGGAAAACACCAGCAGCCAGCCCAGATGAGGCACTGGCCCCACATCAACCTCTGCTCACGGGAGGCTCCAGCACGTGGAGAGGAGGGGCAGGAATGAGGAGGGCAGAGGGTCAGCCAAGCATTTTAAGAGGTCTCACCTTGATTTTTGGCAGGCCGGTTGAACTGCAGAGCTCGATATCCTCTCTGAAATATTTATCACTCGAGGTTTTCGTACCACATCATTTGCAATCCTGCTTTTGAGGAGCTCAGCACAGTGGGAAACTCAGCTATTGATTACAGGCTGTTTCTAATTACCGTGGCACTCTGATCCTCTCCGTGTGATCGGGCTCCGTATCGGAAAAGGCTCCGTTCCTTCACTTTAAATATGGCTCTGGTGGTGACTTTCCCTTTGTTGATGCCAACAGGCACACACACAATTGCTTTTGCAATTCAAGACAACGTACACAGAGGTTCACACTCTGCTCCTGGCCCTGGGCCACGTTTCCCTCCAGTAATAACATTCTGTCTAGAAACAACCAAGCCGATAATTTGCACCCATCAAGCCCCTGTAACATAATGTGCCAGCTATTTAGGACTGGAAAATTTATCACTCAACAAGAGTCAAGGATCTTGTACCAAGCAATACTCCCACTTCCCAGTTCCTGTCATTCCACTTGCTCCACACGATTTGCCAAAACACCTCCCTCCCCCGTCTCGCTGCAGATTTAGGACCAGTGTTTTTATACGTGTTCAACTGGCCACAGAAAGCCCAGGATAAATTTATCTCCCAAAGGCAGCTATGCAGTGTGTCACAGAAAACTCAGATGGGAGTAATATGTACAAATGGATATAGATATTGGACTCAGACACCAGGGCAATTAGACGCTGTCACATTAACAACACCACCCCCTCCGTGGAGGGGAGGGAAGGGAAGGGAAGGGGAGGGATTTCCTCCTGGATGGGACTCTGGCCATTTGTCACACAAGTGGTGCAGATGACCAGTAACAAAATGTGGGAAATTCATCATCATAATGAATGACCATGAATGCAATTCCTTTTCATAACATGTTATCATTGCAGTAATTAACTACCTGGCTGTTCCTTTGTGTCCCCGTGGTGTTGCACATAATCCATCACAGTTTCCAGTGGTAACAGCACATTAAACACACCCTCAGCTATGAAATTCCACAGCCTCAGCATAGAGGAAGTTCTTTAACACCCCAGCATCCCTCCCAGCCCATGTTTAGTCCCTCACAGATGCTACATGATCCCCACTGCCTGTGGCACATACAGAGCTGCCTCAGGATGTGGCAGCAGGAGCTGAAGAGTTCCCTGCCTTGTGTGATCACAAATATATTTAAAATATTAAATAATACGCCTTCCCATTACAGTCAAGGACTAACAGGTTTACTCTAAGGGGCAGCACATTCCTGTGCTGTATCAGTACAGATGTATTGCTGCAGGCAATCCCAACAATTAAACTCTAATGATGCACAAACCTGATCCCAAATTTCCTAAATAAAACTGCAACAAACATTCCAAAGTGAGATGGGTCAACATGGGACAGCACAGGGGTCTGTGGGGCATAAATCCACTTGTGTTTTTCCCTTTATTTGTGGAGGACACAGGGGTGGGGAGAGGGGCTTTGGGCAGGTGAGGAGGAGGAGGAGGGCTGAGCACACAGTGCTGGGGATGCTCACAGCTCCAGCCTTTCCATTCCTGCATCCCCACCTGCACAGCTGCAGCATCCCACAGCCTGGCAAAGCACCAGAGAGTTCAGTTAAAGTTTTTTCCTTCAGGTAACGGATGGAAGGTCAATGACTTTTCTCTCTCACAAAGCTGCTTTTCTATATTCCTGTTTTGTATTTGAATTCTCTGTTTTCCCTCCCAGAAGAGGGGGACCTGGTCACGCCCCAGCTGCTGCTCCAGCTTCCATTTCCTCCTCAGCCATGAGCTTCCCAGCTCCTTCTTTACTCTAATTCTCTCTACTCCTTCCATCTCTAAGACAATCCTTCATTTATTCTGATGAAAGGATTAACCTGGAAGAGAGGTTTTAAATATCCCAGGCTCCTACACATCTGCTTTATTTCCCATAGCACTTCGCTCCACCTCAACAGGAGGAGTTCAAGCCAAAGAAATTCCCAAGGGACAGACAATAAAAAAGCTGGGATGAGGAGGTGGTTGTGTAAAAGCCCACACAACACAGCTCCACGACTGCCAGGGATGAGAAAGGAGTTGGTCACTGCAGACAAATGAGATTAGCACAGCAAGACACTGGATGATTAAAACACTTGTCCTTATGCAAAATTCAGCAGATATTCCCAAATGTCAGAGCCAGACAAATTGCACCATCTGGTCAGTGAGATAAAGTCTTTAAACAAGAACTTTGTAGGCTGAAGGTTCTCAACCACGGAAACAGGTCATGCTGGTGCACTCTGATTTTCCAAATCGAGGGCAATCTCCTCTTCCTCTTCTCTCCTACTTCATTCCAGCATTAAAAAGCACATATGGTGCATTTCCCAAAGTGATATTGTCCAAAAGAATAAAGGATCTCATCTTAACTCTCTCTCCTTTCTTACACTGATAATTCCCTATTCTGCCTGATTCCAGATACCACCATTACTGTTAAAACACCATTTCTCCTGTTAGGAAGCCATCTAATTCATGCATATATATATCAAATACATTGGATAATAAATATATATGGTGTATCTTCATATATTTACCATATATTCAGCAGGGTCTGAATCCCTTTTAGCACTGCCTGTGTAACTACACAGGAATTTGTCACATCATGTCTGAAATGAGCCCAGGAACCACAAGATCCTCCCAAAGACCCCCTAAATGAGCCATTCCAGGCAAAGGCAGGAGTAATCCCTCCGTTTATCTCAACCCAGCTGGATCAGGCCTTGATGCAAGAACCCACTGGCCTTCCCACATCAAACATCTGTAAATGGGGCATTATTGGGGCATGTCTAGACAGAGCTCTTACAAGGCAGGTGATTACTGTAGAGCATGAAGGCTTTACCCCAGGCTGGTAAGGCCAGAGGGCCTCGAGACAGTGCAGGAGTGGTTAAATCTGCAAAATTCATTTTGAAGAGACATGAACTGACATTACGTAATAATCTCAGCAGCTGAATGCCAGGAGCACTGCAAGAAAAAGAACCAGCTTTCTGTGTGGGGGAGATCTCCTGTGTCAGTATGGGCTCAGAAATCTAATGGCTTTAATTACTGTTTTATACATTGTATTAATTTCCTTGATTGTGCCGTGAAATCAAAACACATAACGAAGCCCTTTTCCCCCTCCAACAAAAGCCCTCAAAGTAAATAAATATTCATACCCATCTGCCCCTTTGAAACGAAAGAATGGATCCCCATGCCCCGTTAGCCGAGATTTTGATGTGGAGTCTGCCTTTATGAAATCCTGTTTAATACAAGTTTAAAAGTCAGACAGGCATGGTGCACTAAATCAAATCTGTTTTCTAGGCTGCATCACATGGCAAAATATCCATCTGTTCCCTTAATAGCACATTGCAAGCTGGTGTTTTAACATTCATGGCAGAAAAGCTGTTGTCAGACAACCAGGGCACAGCTACAGCAGAGCTGTGTCCATCAGACACCTGTGTGTATCCCCGTTTTTATGGGCTGAGCAAGTTACTACAGGTTGGAGACCAGCCCTGTGCACAGCACTGGGTTTGTCACCCTGGCAGAGGAAGGATGGGAAGCACAACCTGAGGATGGATGTGGAGATCTGCCTCAGAGAACGTGGGCGGCCTCGATTCTGCTGATATTCCTCAAGATTTAGGGTGCAGAGAGGTGACATTTAAGGAGGCATTTGAGAAGAGCAGAGAGGCTGCAGGTGGTGCCCGTGTTTCCAGGCCATGCAGGGATGGCAGACACAGAGAGCTGGGAGCATCATCACTCCTGGAGAGGCTGCAGGGGCAGGAGGATACTTAAAAATTCATTTGCAGTGCAAATCTAACTCCTCTTTGTCACACACAATCCTGTAATGGAAACATACGCCCGGCGCCGGGGACGAGAGGGAATAATCAGAAAGGTAAATGCCACTTGTGGGTTTTTTTCTTCTCATGACATTTGCAGTAGCTCGTCCTCCCTCCAGCTCACACATCCCATCAGGGCAGGAGCAGTGACTGGATATTCTGCATATCCAAACTGCTAAAGCCTCCCAGGAATTCGGGGGTAATGGAGGGAGGGGGGTCACTGGAGAGGGGCAAAATATTAACAAAGCAAAGGAGAAAGCCCACGGGACAAGTAGGACTTGCAGATTCCCAGGGGAAACCAATTCCATGTTACCACGTGTGTGAGATGTCCCAGCAACACATCACTGCCAAACCCTGCTGGAAACCAGTGAGTCCAGCAGCCCCTCCAGTTCTGAGGCAGGGCGTGATTCCAGGAGTCATCAGTGAGCAGAATGATCCGTCCAAAACCCAGGAGCAAACACTCCATCTTGATCCCAAGTTTGCAACCAGATGCACTGGAAAAAGTCAGGAGTGTCAGGTTTATTAAAGCAATGGTATGGGGGATATATATACATATTTTATATATCTATATTCTCACATATAAAGACCTCCAGAAAAGGAAAATCAATCTCATTCAGAACCAGATGCTGGACATAAATTTATTAAGATGAATGAAGCTACTTCATTCCCCTCTAATGACTGGAGGTTGAAAACTCAGGCAATATTCCCTCTCCCTGGCATCAGAGCACTCTATTTCTCCTCCCTAAATTCTCAACAATAATTCATGTCTCTGTGGCATTGATCAACCAGTCTTTGAGATCCTATTCTTTTGTCTACACCTTCTCTTGTACTCAGCCCCAAAGACCACAGGGAAGAAAGGTTTCTGGCAGAAAAGATAAAACCTATTTATTGTCCTGACCTTTTTGATTAATAGATGGAGTTAGGTATAAAATCATTTTTATCAGGTGAACCTAATGACTTGCAAGACAACAAAAGGGCATTTCAATTTTTTATCAAAAATTTAGTGAGAGCACAATCCCCCAAGGTGAACTTCGGGGACAACCCAAGTAGCCAGGAGTGAATAAATATCTTATAACTTTAGTGTTAACAGAGAATTGATTCATGGATCAGCTGGGATCGTTTGCAGGGGCCAGTCATTTCTTATCCCTGGAGAGCAGAGACTGGCTCAGAGCAGTGCTGGGAGCGAGCTGAGTCAGGTTTTGGGAGGAGCTCAGACTGAAGGGTGCACAGGGAGCTGCTGCTCCACCAGAGCCATCAGCCCTCTCCAGCATCTCTGCCCTCCCTCCCTCAGGAAAAGCAGCCCTGGGAGCTGGATGGGCCTGACGGGATGGGCATCTGTGCAGGCAATGGTTCAGCTGCCATGCAAAACCTTCTGGGTAAACTCACT